ATTCGAAGGAGCTAGCCAATAACTCTCGGGTAGAAGTCGAGTAGAGTAGCCGGGGCTGATAAGAGGAACGTTTATATACACTATTTACACACTAAAGGTCGCTATATGTTGATGGTAGCATCATAGAAGCGTGATGGGAGCTTCTCAGGGATGGTTCAGAGCGTCTCGGTGCTCACGCTTTATGCCCTGGTATTCCTAAAATTATCTGCAGGAGAAAACAGTGGACAGTTTGCAATAATCTGCTAGGCAGCTTTTCTGTAAGATTACTTTTTCAACCAAGAACTCACGTTCACAGGCTGCTTTTCTCGATCATTTCGTTTTTGCCATTCCTTTTTTGAGCTCTTGTTGTGCTCGCGTGCCTTCGCTGGAATTTGGAGAGGTGATATTTTGTTGTACTCGCGTGCTCAAAATGAGAAATAAAAGCAGTCTGTGAACGAGAGTTTTTCGTTGAAAAACAAACCTTACAGGAAAGCCGCCTTGAAGATCACTGTAAACTGACAGACTGCATGTCAATTCAGTTCAGGGCAGTCCGAACAAATTGTCGTCTTCATCTCCATCCGCAATGGGGGGGGGGGGGGGGTAGTGGTTATAAGAATGTGCCTAATTTCTGCAGTCCAGCAGGGAGTGCAGGGAGCAGCGAATAAGGATTAAAGAAAACGAGAGAGGGAGAAAGAGAGAGAAAGCCAAACACTGCCTTCTTTTCAACCAAGGAAAGAGAGAAGGTGCACGTTCAGTTTGTCACATGGTGAGAGAGCAACATAACGTAGGTCACAGTGCAATAATACGCACAACACATCACAGTGCAATAACATTGCATCGCATGTGCAGAATAGGGTCTGCAGCGCTAGGCAGGCTAGGGCTTGTGAGAATGGAAGACTTGCAAGCGCCACAGAGTGTAGGAAACATACCTGACGAGGCATCCCAAGCTTTCGGCTAATTGTTCAGCACGTCTCTTGGCACGTCGAACAAATCAAGCAGCCTCGATTTCAAACAGCTCTTCCTAGGCCGTCAGTCAGTCAGGCGTGTCCAAAGAGTTTTTGACGAGGGAGCCAACAGCCCTAAAGAATTCGAAGTATGACTTTCGTGTTGTCGCCGCTTTTGGCGCACCTCGAGAGCGTTAATCCGGAACAAATCAGGGTAGGCTTAGCTGCAATCGTCCCCCGCGTCCAAGCGGCGCCCAGCCAGGGAGGCCAATCTTAACATCTTCTACAGACATACGCACATAAGCACGCACAGTTTCACTCTGTGAGAGAACTGGTAGTGGTCGCAATGACGTACCTAACGTGCATCTACTATAAAAAGGCGTGCAGTGTACGCGATAGCTTTTTTTTAAAGTCTTGTAATTCTAGTATATTTTCATTATATAGCCGAGGTATGAGGCGGTTGTTACTCGCATATATTTGAGTTAAAGTACTACAAATATTTATTCGCCGCGCATGCCTTTTGGAAATGATACTCCAAAGAAAAAGGAAATCGCTCCAATAATTTCTAAACTAAGTTCGCATGTGGGAGTACTTGTTCTCTGTCTGCGCTCTGCGCTTTTCCATGGTTCATGAGTGTTAAGCCCCGCTGCTGCTTCTATAGAATGGTGTAGGATAAGCCATATCAACGCAGTGACAGGATTTCCTACAAACTACCAAGCGTTCGATCACCAGGAATTTTCCCTCCGGCATATTTTGATTGAAAGAAGCGACATATTTTTGCTGAAAACCCGGTTTATGCACTGGGGCCCGGTGCACAGCTGTTCCAAAGTGCAACTCTTGATAATCGCGAGCGCGAAGACGGCAAGTGAAAGCCTCTATGCTGTTGTCTGTACGGTCGGTGTAACGAAACCATATATAAAAATATTTTGCTTTGGACTCACTCGGACTGAGACTAACGAAATTTCTCTCTATTCAAACTCACTCAGACTCAGACTCGCCGATGTTTTTGTCAGCCGGATCCACTAATACTTTCCTCAAATATACCCACTCATACTCAGACTGATCAAAACGTTCCTCCAGCATACTCACTCGAACTAATGGACTCTCGAAATGTTTCTAAAACAGACGCACTTGAACTGAAAATGAGCGATATTCGACTTGGTCCGGCTCATACAATAAACGTCGAAGGAGCACCATTGAAAAACACATGTGAAAGAATTGCAATTGCCAAGCAACCTATATATATTATTACGGGGAATAAAGTATACACTGGCGAGCAAATGTGTACCGGCGAATATACTGGCGAGCTAATGCGTACAACGCTGCTGCAGTCCGAGCACGGACACTTTCAGCACTTCGTCGTCGTCATCCTCAGGCATCTACTTAGTCCGTGACATTACCCGCCGGCGGCAGAAGCACCGTCCCGGTGCGATCAATTCTCGAGGCGTGAGTAGTATGGTTTAAGCCGTGAGACGGCACTATATCGGTCGGGACTGAAGCTGGTACTGACGTGGTATGGAGTGGAGCTATCTCATAGGTCACGCTGGTGACCTTGAGTATGACTCGGTAGGGGCCAACGTAACGGGACATTAGTTTTTCGCAGAGACCAACACGACGTGATGGTAACCACAGCAAGACGAGTGACCCCGGAGAGTACTGCAGTGTACTTCGCGGTGCCGGCGATCGTAAGCACTCTTTTGGTTAAGCTGCGAGGCACATAAACGATCTCGGGCGACTTGGCGGGCGATGTCAGCTCGGGCCAGGGCATCACGAGCATAAGCAGTCGATGAGGAGGCGTCAAATTGGAGCATGGTGTCCATGAGCAAAGGCGGGTCATAACCAAACAGTAGGTAAAAAGGTGAAAATCCAGCTGTATCATGACGTGAACTGTTGTATGCGAAGGTAACGAAAGGTAAGTGGACGTCCCAATCTTTGTGATCCTTGGAGACGTACATCGCTAACATATTCGTCAGGGTACGGTTGAGGCGTTCCGTGAGGCCGTTGGTTTGCGGATGGTACGCTGTAGTGAACTTGTGGTGGGTAGAGCAGGATCGCAGGAGCTCGTCGACTACTTTAGATAGAAAACAGCTGCCGCGGTCGGTGATCAACTGACGAGGAGCACCACGACGCAGAATGATGTCATGAAGAAGGAAATCGGCTACATCAGTAGCGCAGCTGGTGGGGATAGCGCGTGTAACGGCATACCGCGTTGCGTAGTCGGTAGCAATAGCAATCCACTTATTACCGGTGGCTGACACGGGAAAAGGTCCTAAAAGATCGAGGCCGACTTGTAAAAATGGCTCATCTGGTACTTCAATGGGCTGGAGGGTACCAGCAGGTCTCAGAGCAGGTGTCTTGCGGCGCTGGCAGAGGTCGCATGCCGAAACGTACTGTCACACAGAACGGTAGAGGCCAGGCCAAAAGAATCGGCGGCGAATGCGGTCATACGTGCGTGACATCCCTAGGTGTCCAGCGGAGGGGCATCACGGAGCTGGGCCAAAACGTCTGAGCGAAGATGCACAGGAACAACGAGTAAAAGCTCAGCACCATCAGGGTGGGCGTTGTAGCGGTGCAAGATGTCGTTGTGAAGAACGAACAGTTGTAAGGAGTGGTCAGGGTGGGGAGAGTGCAGACCATTGATAATAGCACGCAAAGAGGTGTCGCGGCGTTGTTCAGCATCTATGTCGGTGAAGTCGGTAATTGAAAGAACGAGGGCCTCTTGTTCATCTTCCCTCGTGTCAGGGGGATCGACTGGGTAACGGGACAAGCAGTCGGCATCCTTGTGAAGTTGTCCGGATTTATAGGATACGGAATAAGTGTACTCTTGTAAGCGCAGCGCCCAGCGACCAAGGCGTCCCGTCCCGTAGGGTCCTTGAGTGAGGAGAGCCAGCAAAGCGCATGGTGGTCCGTAATAACTGAGAATGGTTGGCCATACAGGTACGGTCGGAATTTCACAATGGCCCAGACGAGAGCTAAGCACTCGGGTTCTGTGATGGAATAATTTTGTTCCGAGCGCGACAACACTCGGCTTGCATACGCGACGACGCGGTGCATGCCTTGTTGCCGCTGCGCCAGCACTGCGCCTATGCCGTGGCCACTGGCGTCAGTACGAATCTCCGTGGCGGCAGATGGGTCGAAGTGTGCAAGGACTGGTGGATTGGTGAGAATGTCAACGAGCGACGAGAAGGCGTTTGCTTGCTGTTGGCCCCAGGTGAATGCGACATCCGTTTTGAGGAGGCAGGTTAGAGGACGGGCTACTTCAGCAAACTTCTCGACAAAACGACGGAAATAGGAGCACAGTCTCAGAAAACTTCGGACGTCCTTGGCTGAGCGGGGTGTGGGGAAGTCGCGAACTGCTCGGACTTTCACAGGGTCTGGTTGAACGCCCGCAGCGTTAACAAGATGGCCGAGTACGCAGATTTGGCGTTGCCTAAAGCGGCATTTGGACGAGTTAAGTTGCAAGTTGGCACGTCGAAAAACATCAAGCACTGTGGACAGACGGGTAAGATGGTCGTCGAAAGTAGTCGAAAAAACAATAACGTCGTCAAGATAGCAGAGGCAGATGGTCCACTTCATGCCTCGAAGGAGAGAGTCCATCATGCGCTCAAACGTCGTGGGGGCATTGCATAATCCAAACGGCATCATCTGACGAAGGCCGTCTTCTCTCTGTCTTTGTCGTCCACAGTGATCTGCCAGTAGGCTGAGCGACGGTCTATTGAAGAGAAATATTTGGCACCGTGCAAGCAATCGAGTGCATCATCTATGCGCGGTAAGGGATAGACATCTTTCTTGGTAATATGGTTGAGATGGCGGTAATCAACACAGAATCTCCAGCTATTGTCCTTCTTTTTAACAAGTACAACGGGTGAGGACCAGGGACTAGATGAGGGTTCGATTATGCCATAATCAATTATGTCATTACCTTGAAAATTGGCCGCGCGCTGCCGCCGATGAAATAACCGACGTGCGCCGACGACGCCGCCGCCGCCGACTCTGAGCGACCCCCACGCCGCCGCCGGTCGAAATCGCCTCGGCGCACACCTCTAGTATGGTGGCTAGAATTCTAGCCACCATACCTCTAGTGTCCCCGCACAGAACACCAACACAGTCCCTGTATGCCGTATAGGTGTTCGGTGGTTGAAACCTCAATCAAGTGGTGTGTTGCGATGTTACAGTGTTCTATTACACTGTAGATACGTTACGTTCTATGAAGAAGTGCGTTGCGTGAAAGTTGCCGGCAAGAATCATGCACCCGTACGTTGCAGATATCGGAATCAATTTGGATGCGGTGAACTCTGGCTTGAGAGCCGTGAAAGCCCTTCGATGCACTGTAGGTGAAGTGTTTCGTACTTTGACGGATGGGGTTCCGTGTTCCCAGGGTGATGAAAAGAAAGAGAAGAATTTTATTCGGGAGCTTCAGGGAATGCTAGGCGCAGTTATCTCTCGTATAAGGTATGTTGTCCCTTTGATTTCTCTATTATGAATATGACTTGCGGACTATGTAAGTACTTCCGTCGCGTAACCTATCGTCTTTGTAGAAGCTCAGTGAACGTGCTGAAAAGTTGAATTCAACTGGATCCCTCACATTAAGGCCATGTTTCACTTGCAATGCTATGAATGTCTAAAACTTCCTGTCCATCCTATCAGATCGTAGTGCATTACTACGTAGTGTAAAGCATGAACCCGTGTATTCAGTTCATATGCTATGGTTTGTCTCTGTTTTGGGAATCATAAATAGATCAAGAACCGTACACGTACAAAACTGTTAGCGTCGCTTTAGGTCGCATATACCAGTGTACTACATCCGTAATTAATTGTTTCCATTTGGTGGTTACCTTTATGATACTTGAAGCAAGAAGATACATGTTAGCAGGGTTGGATCATTACAGCCATGTTAGCATGTATTTCTTATCGTTTTTATCACGTGTAGTGCCTTTCATGGAGGCGTGTACAAAAGTGATGTGTTAACTATTCAGCCTGAAGTTCAGCTGCCGTTGCGGCTTAGTGGCCAAGGCTACCACATTTCTATGGGGTCGAAATGCTAAAGTGCCCGTTTACTTAATTTAGGTGTACGTCAAAGAGCCCTACATGGTCAGCTAATCAGGAGTATCACTAAGGCATGCCTCATAATCATATTGTTTTTGAGCGTAATACACCAGAATTTTATTTACATTTAATATACGTGCTGTTCATTTCTTGAGGAATTCAAGTAAAAGGTGCAGCTTCCTACCCTCTCCAATCCATGCACACAATGTAAGGCACGCTTAGTGACTATTTAGTTTCACAGGGCAGCCAGATCCTTTCAATATGCAAGGCGCCATTTATGTAATTCTAAACAAACCAAATTGGTAGGTGCCATTGACAAAATGAATTGTTTATAACAATCGCAGTGATGAGTGAAGCCTGGAAGTACAACAGAAAGTTGATGCAGGAAAGAAGTGTCAATTATTAATGGAAGGGACTTCATTTTCGCAATGCAAAAGTATTTATTATATAGGAGCTTCAGGTGGGTAAGCATTAATCTAAAACCCACATAAACATATCTCTTACAGTTCAACTGCTCGAATTTGAGGTGTTGAAACATTTAGCTCATTAGAAGGAGAAGGAGGTAAACTGGCAGTTTAAAGAAACGATGGGCAACTAGTAATAATGATACTTCATTATTACATAGGAATTTATGTGCAAAAAATGATGGGATTATGAGGCATGCAGTCGTAGTGAACTCTGCATCAATTTCATCAATCTGAGGCTTTTTAATTTGCACCTTAATCTAAACACAGGAGGTATTTTTTTATGTTGTCCCCAACAAAGTGTGACAGAATCAAACTCGTGTTCTTGAGCTTAGCAGTGCTACATACTACCCAGCTAAGCTACCACAGGAGCTACTTATTCAAAGTGCTATCGATCCTTCAGTAATGTGTATAAGTGCAACTGAACACCTCTACAACAAGGTTATTTGTATAACGAAGAATTCCTTCTATCCCAGCTGAATTTGGAGTGCTATAGTGCGCTAACTTTACAATGTTGTGAACCGTGCAGTGGAGTACTTTGAAGGTCAAGAGCATGCTGTTATGGAACTAGTTTCACTGTACTGCATAAGCTTTTGCATTACTCAAGTAAAACAAGATAGAGTCGAGTGATTAAGATAATAACATCCGTGAAATTTAGTGAACTTAATGAAAGAGGACTTAGTTGTCCACAGGCAGACCTAGTCTTGAAAGACAAGCAACCAATCGCGCTACCTGGATGCCTACTTTAAGGAAGGTTGGAGAACTTCAGCATCCTTTAAAAGCACAGTAAAATGGGCAAGAGATGCACCACATGCAACGCAGCACAACAGTACACAAGCCGGCAGCCTTTGAGCCATCCTTCTCCTCCCACCCTTACACGACATCCTGAGATGAGTGTGAATCGCTATACGATCTGAAATGAGTTTTAATCATTATAATCTTTGCCAGGCCCTGGCTAGGTCCATGTAATTGAATACTTAGGAGCAATTAACACAGCTGCCCTTTAAGTTGACCAAAAGGAACTATTACCCTGACCAGGTGGTCATTGTTATGCATGCAGTCACCCAAAGAATGCAATGCCCTTGTCAGTTACGTGAATACCTGCCTGGAAAAATGTGGATAAGGGGGACGTTGTTAGAATCTCGTGGGGCATTTTTCTTTAAAAAAAAACTACTGCGAGTCCTGAGGCTGAAAGGCAAGAAATATTTGTAAGGTAATGCTGAAATGTCCATGCTAAAATATCCCACTGGAAAGTAGCACTCTTTAAATGTAGCCTTCAGCATATCCTATTTGCTGTGCTACGTCTTCTGATTAGGTAAATATTCCTCAGTAAACACACTGAGGCTTTATGCATGTGTATGATACAAAAAGATTAGTCTTGACATTAAAGTGTTTTTTGTTTTTTTCATTGGGATTGCAAAGGTGCAGGGACCAAGAATGTTTCTTAAGCTGTTGTAATAAGTAACAACAATCCTAGAGGCCACCACAGGGAATGCATGTGCAACGTGCTTTTCCCTGTGAAGCCCTCTACCAACATGTCATTTGGATTTTTAAGTCTTCCATCTTGAATGGGAAAGCATCAAACGAAAGAACGAAAGGGAGCCACACGGGGTTGGTTGACGCTATTGAGACGGTCAAGACAGGAGAATAGCCATGGAATGTGCATAGGACGGGCTGAGGCACTCTTCTATCGACAGAATGGGTACAAAACGGTCTCTGGATGGGGGCATGGATTGCATTGAAACGTAAGCGCTTTAGCCCGAAGAATCAAATGAGCCTGTTTTGCACTGGCTTAGCCCTGTCCGTGGCCGAAAATCACCGCTGAACGACTCATCGAATTGGAACACCACCTAGCATCCATCTAAGGCAATAACACAAATAAATCGTTAATGTAATCCTGCTCTGTAATCTCAAGCTTTGAAAAACTATGCCTGTCAATATTGATGTAGAGCTCAAATAATTCTATAATTCTTCATGTGTTGAAAGCTTTTCAGAATTCCCTCAGCTCGCGTATTGGCTGTCTGTTTCCTCTCGTCCTTTTGTTTGATCGCTCCTCTGTTCTAGACAGAACGCTTACAAAATAGCCCCCTTGATATCAGAAAAGGCTGCAATCCATGTTGTGTGTCAGCATTTGTCAAGGCAATGCAGCCATGGGCTTGTAAACGTACCTTGATATCTGTTCAGCAGTAAGGGGCTATTGTTGCTGCTAAACACAAATATCTATATCTCAGTTTAAAAGGCTATACAGTTACTCAAATATATCCAGGTAAAAGGTTTCTCAGATGTTGCCACATGCTCAAATGAGATTTTGCTGTGCCAGTAAAGCTATGATCTAGCCCAGTCTGCTTATTTATAATCCACTCTGGCAACTGTTCTGGATTAGCAGCAACCATTCAATGTTGCCCATTAGACAGGCCTCCCAGTCCATTGTGCGCACGATGCTGGAATAAAAAACGGTGTACAAGCTTGCGTGGTGGTGATGTGGTGAAGGCATGATACACGCTTGCTGCAGGCTGCTGGCTCTTGACGATAGATGGCATAGGTTATTCCTGGTGTAGCTTGTGTATTTAGCAAATTGGGAATTTCGAGCAAATTTTCACTGTCAGGTGCGCTTTTGCTAGAATGTGCCGGGCTGTGTAGTGCATAATGGGGAGAAAATGCTTTGTGCCCTGCTGCAATAGGGGGTACAAGACGAGCAAGGACAAGTTCTTACTGTTGTGCACAAAAAGATGCCGAATTTCTGGACAAGTGGAGGCAGGCTATCCCGAGGAAAATAGAGTCCTTTAGTTGACGAATTTTTTCTATGACTTTTTCGAACTCGAATGGAAAGAATGGGTGGCATCCTACAAAGGACACATTTTGATGAACATGTTGCAATGGGAGATATTGGTAATAGACACTGTGCTGATTAAGTCTCCTGACGGCTAGGCATACCTGCCGAAAACTTCAAAAATCACAGAAAAAATGTTTCTTCTCCCGTTGAAGAATAGTGAGGCAGTTTCTTGTGAGGGAAGGGCAAGTGACCACCAACATTCATGTGCATTATTGACGGTTGTGTCTGAAAACTGCGGGAGCTACTGATGGGTGTGGGTCTGATATTACGTGGCGTCATGTCACACCAAAATTTGTCATGTCGTGATGACGTCATATGGTGATGTGATCACATAATGGTGGTTTCTTGCGTAACTTGTCCCCGATGCTGTGGGAAGGTTGCTGCTGATGGTCAAATTTCCCATTCGATAAGGCATTTAAGGCTTTCACCTTGAAAAACTCGCAGGTTGTCTTGTACACTTATTTAATAGTGTAATGACATGATTTTAAGGCATTGTAGGAGGCACATTTTTTCTTTCCTTGCTGAACTGTGTTAAAGGCCAACTCCGGCGATTTTTCGGCCACTTCAGGGCAATGGTGCTTTTATGTTCTTTAGAAAGTCTTGTCGCGCGCCCAATAGCTGAAATGCTCAACAAATTTGAAAATAATTTTTATTAGTAAAAAACTGCATTACAAAAACCGAAACTCAACTGAGTGCGCTTCCACGTATGACATAATATTTTTGCCAGAACATGCCTCGTGCATGACGCCACCAAATGGCACTACTTGTCTGGGCCGTCCAAGTCTTTGCCTGCGGTGATCGGCTAAAACGCTTACGCTGTTATGGTGACTATATTGCGAATCGTGTGAGGCTCACAACGCAACATCACTTGCCACCCATCGCACGCCCACCAACACGGAAAGGGAAATTGCACGTTCAACTAAGGAAGCGCTGGCCAAACTCGCACAATTCATAGCAGGTGCTGCTGTGGCACTTCAGTTCTTTCACTCCCGCTTTGCAAAAATCAGCATCACACGCACAATGTTGCCACTAATTCTGGCAAGCGAGGTGAGGGTTTAGAGAGAAGCTATAAAATTTATTTGAAAATAATCTGCGAAGCTCTTAAGCCT